CAGAGCAAGCATTCCTACCTTAAGCAACAGGGCTGTAGCATCCACCCGGGGTGGTGGTTCTGTTGATACATTCAATGTATATTGTTAATAGCATCTGTCTTCTCATTTGATTGAAAGAACACATGTCCAACTTAGACTGGACATTGAGAGTAGTAAAGCAATGCAGTAACCATCATTACAAATTATTTTAGAATTCTGTAATTATAAACAAATGAGAATGTCTAAAAGCCTGAATTTTTAGACACAGTGGATTTGATAATTATACTAATCTTTTAGGGGCTTATTCCCTAAGGAATGATCTCATCACTACTCCACAGCCTACAAATGAGTTCTCTATTTCTACAGACCATGGTTCTGATACTTGACATGACATCAACAGATACAGAAAGTACAGTGTCTGATATGTACAAATACATTTTTTTCAGCTTCTTGATTCTTTAGCATCTATAATACTGTTTCTTCTATGTGTATTCTTTCTCTTTGCACAAGTTAAATTAATCTTTTCTTTTCTTTCTTACACCCTTTAGCTAATGCCTCACTGAACTGCAAACAATATTGTAAATAAACCATAGCAAGGTCATTTGGTTAGAAGTAGAAAAGATGGTCTTTGACAGTATCTAGCACATTATTTCACAGAAATTTCTTACAGATGGTGCACTGGACTCAATTTTGTTTAACATTGTCAGTTGTGGTTATTCACATGCTTTGCTGATCTTTTTTTCTAGGTACACGAAAATGAAGACTGCCACCAATATCTATATTTTCAATCTTGCATTGGCAGATGCCCTAGCAACAAGTACTCTGCCATTCCAGAGTGTGAATTACTTGATGGGAACATGGCCATTTGGTACCATCCTTTGTAAGATTGTTATATCCATAGACTACTACAATATGTTCACCAGTATCTTTACACTCTGCACCATGAGTGTGGATCGCTATGTAGCTGTTTGCCACCCAGTTAAGGCCCTTGATTTCCGTACCCCCAGAAATGCCAAAATTGTTAATGTCTGCAACTGGATTCTTTCTTCTGCCATTGGCCTGCCAGTTATGTTCATGGCAACTACTAAATACAGGCATGGTAAGTCTGGCTTTCATTCCTAAATTGAGTATTTCAATGTTTAACCTCCTTTCTGCATTGTTTCACTTTATTGTAGAGGCGTTGAATTAACTTCTGACCTCCAACCTGTATAAAGCAGATGTCAATGCAAATGGACCCCTTCAACAATTTTGCATCTGGCTGTAGTTGACTGGACACAGCACTGCACATGATCTGTCTTTTACAACAGGCAGCTCCAGCTCCTTCTGTGGGTCCGTGCAAGTCTCGCTGCCCCACACACTTACTGTAGTGTTTGGAAAAGCATTTGTGCCTGCCTGCCTTCTGCTGTGGGGTGGTTATGCGCTGTCCTACAGCACAGAAGCCTGTGCTTTACCCAGGATATTCCCACTGAAGTTGGCAGTCATAGATATGTTGCACTTCATCTGGCAGGATGTGATACAGATCAGAGAGCATGTTCTGGATCGCTGGTGCTCAAAAACCTTCCATGAAGTGACAGTGTCTCAATATAAATCCAGGCCTTCCGTTGTGCAGTTACCAAGGGTCATGTCATTCTCTTCCCCATTGCCCTGCAATCCTCAAACTAACCAGATGCGGTGGTTAAACCATCTTTCTTTTCACCAGGTTTTATACTGAAAGTGAAAATGAGTCAAAGTTTAATCATTTATGACAATTCAGCTCTTTTTCTTGTCCAATATACATGCAATTCCAAGCAATAAAATGCAAAAGAAAACACATTACTTTGGTACACTTCATACATGTTTTGCAGCACTGTGTCCTATCAATGTTTGTGCCTCATTTTACCTGTTTACTTAGTAGATCTTCGTATATTTGCCTATGATATTTAACAAAAAAGTTTTAAAGAAAAGCAAATAAAAAACTGACTGCTTGTTCTTCTCTGCTGTTTTCCTTTTTCTCCAGGCTCTATTGACTGCACCCTTACATTCTCCCACCCTGCATGGTACTGGGAGAACCTCCTGAAAATCTGTGTGTTCATCTTTGCCTTCATCATGCCAGTCCTGATCATTACCGTGTGCTATGGGCTGATGATTTTACGCCTGAAGAGCGTTCGCATGTTATCTGGCTCCAAAGAGAAGGACAGGAACCTGCGGAGAATCACGAGGATGGTTCTTGTAGTGGTGGCGGTGTTTATTGTCTGCTGGACTCCCATCCACATTTATGTCATCGTTAAAGCCCTGGTCAACATCCCAGAAACTACTTTCCAGACTGTCTCCTGGCACTTCTGTATTGCTCTAGGGTATACAAATAGCTGCCTTAATCCAGTCCTTTATGCATTTCTAGATGAGAATTTCAAAAGGTGTTTCAGAGAGTTCTGCATCCCCACTTCCTCAACCATTGAGCAGCAAAACTCCACCCGAGTCCGACAAAACACTCGTGACCATGCTTCCACTGCCAACACTGTGGACAGGACTAACCATCAGGTATGACTAGCAGTGGAGATGTCATCTCTGGATCCAGGCCTCCCGCTTGGAGGTGACATGTATTCTGAAGTTACAGTTCATACTGATTTGTAGCTATTTCAAGGTCTAAATACCTTCAGGGTTATATTTGAAACTGATGTATGCATACACAGAGACCCCAGTCCTGCATGGTGCTAGTTGTTCTCTCCTCTAATTGATGCTCAGAAGCTGAGGGCTTTCAAAGGTACCTTGCATGAGCGGGTCCAGCGTGCATGCATACACAAAGCACACATAACAGTGTTTCATTTGCAGGATGTTTCCAACAGGTGACTGCTTTACAACTGGTTGGAGATTAAGCACAGATTTCTCTATTCATACTCCTTGTCTGCATGGAGACAGGAGTGGGACAGAATACAGATCTCTCCTCTTCTCCCATTGCAACAGTGAATAAAAACCAGAAGCAACTGTGCTTGTACACTTTTGATTGACGTACAAAGAAGGCTTACCTGGCCTTGTTTGTCCTGAAAGACATGCAAGAGGTAGACAAAGGCTTGTCTACATGCCGTTCTTGTATCAGATAATTATCTGTGCTGGCTAAGATATATAGATGAGATAGAGATAGATAGATATATAGATATAGATATATAGCTGAGATAGATATATAGATATAGATATAGATATAGATATAGATATAGA